GAAGATGAACAGAAGTTGGTAAAGCTGCTTTTCTGAGGAGTCTGCTGGTGACCTTTGGAAAAGAGCATGCTGGCCTGTCCAGGACACAAACAAGTACCTGCTTTCCAGTGCATGGGCGCCTTTTATACTGACTTAGTCTGCTGCTGCTTCCACTTCAGTTTTACACCCGCTACGCTGTTGCTCTGTTTACAGTTTCAGCAATTAAATAGTAGAGTAGCCGTTAGAAGTGCATTTCTAGCTCCACACAGAAAAGTAGTTAATATTTAAACTAATAAAAATTGTATTTTTTTCTTAACTAGTCAAGTGAATTTCTATTTTGCTTAAGCAGATATTGAAATCCTCTCTACATCATTTGTATTGTTAATAAATTGCAGGGCTTTATACCACACCACATTACGGGAAATAGATTTGAAATATATAAAGGCACAATATACGTACATTTTTAACAGCGGAAAGTAATTTTCTGTCATAATAGCCAAAATAAAGTGCCATGAAACTATTAGTAGTAAATTGAATTTTTTGGTATGTAATTTAGTATAAATACTGACAAGCCAGAAAAAAACCCACCGCAAACAGCAAACGCATACTCATTAGTTATTCAGTTTAGCAGCGCAGAGGCAGCAGTCGGCCAGGGTGTGCGTTTTTATGTCTGCTTCAATTGCACACTTCATTTACTTGGACATGGCATAGGCGGCTTTCTCTGTCACACGGCATCACCGCGCGATTAGCAAGTTGTGCCCCAGGGCAGCTGGGACGCTTTGCTGGGGCAGATGTTCTTTTCAGCTTATTCAGTGGCCTTTGTGGGGTTGTTTACTGTTGTCATAGCTACCTCCATTTCCATAGCAGCCGAGCTGCTGTGTGTGAAGCAAGTGAATATAGTTATAAAAGGATCATATTTTGTTCTGTCTCTGTAACTTACCATCTGCCAACTGACTGTTCGTGATGGATTCAGAAACCAATTTAAGAATAACAGCAGCCAGTCAATGATTTTTGCTTATATTAAAGTGACAATGGATGAAGATGCAAATAAGTTGGTGCTTCAATGAAATGCTGGTTTCCTTTTTTTTTTTTTTCTCCCCCGCCTTAATTGTAGCAGTTTGGCTTCCAACACTTTCTCGAACATCGCTGAAATCCTTATCGACAAATCAAAATGACTGCTGGGTGTCATCTTCTGTACTTGCTCAGGTGTAGCTGTTCCTTCCGCTTTCCACTCTACTGTCAGCTCATTCCTGTGTGTTTCTTCCAAATTGTGATGTTGCACCTGCTTTCACAGATCCTTTGTACTGAAATCTAAATACTCTCTACAGATCAAACAGTGAATTCATGAGGCTAACAGTGAAGGTATCATGCACGCAAGAGTATGGCTTGGTGACATTCATCACTGCGCTGTACTTAATAGTAGCAATGGGATCACATGCAAGTTTGGGGCTAAATTCAATGTGTGATCAACGAGCTCTCTGAATAATGAACTCTTTAACACCTTTTCACTGCAGAGATTTGGTTGAACCTATAGCTTAGCAACGGGGGCAAGAAGATTAGCCCAGTTGTAAATAATGTATTTATTGGTTGATTTTTCCAGATCCTGACATTGATGCTGCCACTGCCATGATGCTTTTGAATACTCCCCCTGAGATACAAGCAGGTTGTGAGTAGATATTTCTATAGCATATAGCAACATAGACATGTAAAGTTAATATTCTCTTTTATAAGTATACAGCGTACCAGATAAAAAGAAGGATTTAATGAAGAATTACAACTTCCCTTGTAGACCCTTAAACTTCTTTGACCCTTACATGAGTATAATTTTGTGGTTCATGTTACATTCTTTGTTACATGAATAATAGTAATCCATGATCTCTAATGTAAAAGAGAGGTTATTGTTATTCATGACATACACATAATTGAGTTACATACTATTATCTGTACTGATAGAAAGACCTGGGGCAAGAGCCAGGAGAAAGGCAGGGAGAGAAAGAGAGCAAGACAGCGAAGGATACATGGCATATGGTTTTGTTTTCATTTTGTTTTGATTTGACTCTCATCATGTGAGTTACCACAGCCATCTGGATACTTTCCATTCATTTGGGCACTGTTTCAACTCCTTCCTTGCACACATCCTGCCCGGTTTGCTTTTTTACTCTGTCTGATGCAAGGCAGTAGGCAGGCTCCAGGGAGCAAGGAAAGGTCTCATTTCCTGCCAATACTGTCCTCCTTGTTCTGCGACTAGACCCGAGGTTTTGATGCTGTGTATTAACAGATCACTGAAGGGACCTTGGACCCCACTGGACTGGGCCGTGCAAATAAAGCAGGAATCATCCTGCCTCACAGAGCTTGCAGTGAAGGTATTAGAGGAATCCGTAGAGGAATACAGCTGCACAAAAGCAGGGAGAACAAGAAAACAAACGTATCGCTGGTCAGCAAGCACGGTAGTAATGCCGAGTGACAGGCAGCTCTAAAAAATAAAGGCAGAAGTTAAAATAGAAGCCATTATCAAGCCTGTCTAGCATCACCACTATTGTTCTAGCTCGGGCAACCAAATCCGAATTCCAGGGGAAGCCTTGATTTGCACTCTGATACTCTGGCTGGAGAGGGTAGTCAGTTACCATCAAAGCATTTCCTGTGCAGCCGAAGAAGGCTATTGTCAGCCTGCTTTGTGGCCCTGCCAGAGAAATGCCTCTTGAGAAGCTCTTCTGGGGGTAGAGCGTGATGTACCAATAAACTCTCTGTTCTGGAAAGAGAGAAGAGTGGTCCTTGTCCTCCTGTCCTAAACAGCCTTCCGGGACTGTGTGCAGTAAAAGGGCGAGCAATCCCAGCTGAATGTAGGTAGGAAAAAGGAAAGATTTTATTGGGGAGAGGAGGTTATCGTTTGGCTTAGCAGGAAGAAGAAAACGAGAGATATCCAAAGTATCAGAAATTTAAAGAAGCCAGATTTGTGGAGCAGAGAAAAGGGGAAAATAAGTTGGGATAGAATGAGAGTGCAGGGGTAAAAGGGTATGTGAGAGAGGGAAGGAGACATAAAGCAGTACATGCGCGGAAAAGGATGGGGAAAATGCAAGGTAATCTGAACTCTTGGAAGAACTAGAGAGCAGGAGAAGATTGCAGACAAGAAAGGGAGGAGATCCATAGTAAGCTGCATGTACTAAACACACTGCAGATTTTCATCACGTTTACCATCATTACAGGAGTTTGTGTGGAAGTGATTGGAAGACTTGGGCACTGTCATTTTGTAGAGATCATAGCTTGCAAGTTGACCAATGGCTTATTGCTATTTTAATTTGCAGAGGTCACTCTGAGGAAGGAAATTCTAGCCTTCTATGAGTCTGGCTATCTCTCTCCCCACATCACCTTCCCAGAGGGCTGTTGTGTCAGGATGTCAAAAGCGAGAGGGACATGAAAACAGAAAGGTGGCTCCTCCTTCACATCACTCCCTCTTTGGTGTCCACAAGTAATGAGACCTTCCTCTGTGCCTTTAAACTGAAATGCAGGGTCTGCTCAGAAGTTCGTGAATCCTTCCAGACATTGGGTAGAATTGGCTGATGCCAGGAGGAAAGGGCAGAAGTTCTTATCATAACCTCAGAGGTCCTCTAAATTACAAAGGAGAAATATTTTTGTGTGTGTGCGCGAATGGATACCTGAGGAAGTAAATCAGCCTGACCTATGAGTTGCAGTTGTCTCACTTACCTACCCTATTAGGAAAATCTTAGGCAACTTAAAGCAAATTAATTACTACTGCACATTAAGAAACAACTGCATGAAAAATCACATTTAAAATTAGTTTTCAAATAAAAAGCAATTGGACTATAAAAATTTCATCGCAATGCTGAGCATCGTCTAGAAGCTCACAGTTCATTCTCTGCTCTGTCAGTGACTACAGTGGTCTGTAACTCAAGCTGTGGATAATCAGGGCGGTAGGCATGCTGGTTCTGTTTCATCCCTTGAAGATTTAGAGTTCAGTTTGTCATATCAGACTGTGGCGTCAAGCCTGTGCCCAAGCCATCAGGGCTGCAAAATTCCCCATCTTCCGAAGACCAGATTTGAAGAGGGAGGGACATAGTTTCCAGTTTGGCCACAGGTGTTAATACCTGACTGAAAACACCCTTTTGGTCTGAGAGTCTGACTCCGAATGTGCCGGTTACTTCCACAACAAAGTCAGATGGAGGCAGAACCTGAGTGTCATTTCACAGTACAACAGCTTGACAAGCCAGAAGGTTTAAAACTCCGGTCCATTAAGGCCTGTCCTACAAAAATTTAACTATCGTTGTGAAATGTGGATACCTCCAAAGTAGATTGTGGCAGAGTCTGAATTCATGTTTGTGTGGACAGTTACGTTTGTTGGCTTTTGACTTTGAAGGCATCTTCTTGGATTAAAAGCTACCTTTCAAGCAGGATAAAAATCCTTGTTCATCTAGGCAAAGTGGGTGCTAAAAGCATCTTTCAGATGAAGTTATTTACAGCCATCATTCAAAGTTTTATTAAAATTTATTCTTTTAATATAGTCTGTCAGAAAGGAATCTTATCTCAGTGACGTTAGAAAATATGGAGTAAAGTATTCCTGCTTTGTAACAGATTGATTAATTAGCTTTATAATTTTAAATGACCATTTAAAACTCGATACCCATGTGTGAAACGCTGCTAACAACCACACATGAATTCTGAAATCAGCTTTTGCTTTTATATGAAATCTTGACACGATGTCTGAGCTGGCACAAACATTTGCTTACCATTTACCCTAATCACATTGTGCTCTAGTTTTCATGCAAAAAAAAAATGGCAGAATGAAAGAGTAAAACACCATTATTAGGATTATTTTGTGTTTGTTGGAGTTTTACTTTGTAGACTCGTGAAATTGATTGTTCACATTGTCACTAAAAGTTGGAAATAATACAATTATAGTGCAGGTATTAACATCAGAAATCAATTTCTAAGATATTTTTTATATCTTTAAACTGAAAGAGGATAGATTTAGATTAGATGTAAGGAAGAATTTTTTTTACGATGAGAGTGGTGAAATACTGGAACAGGTTACCCAGAGGAGTTTTGGATGCCCCATCCCTGGAGGTGTTTCAAGGCCAGGTTGGATGAGGCTTTGAGCAACCTAAACTAGTGGAAGATGTCCCTGCCCGTGGCAGGGGGATTGGAACTAGATAATCTTGAAGGTCCCTTCCAACCCAAACCATTCTATGATTCTATGATATTAACATTTAGCAGTATTTTCACAAAGTATTTCAAGATTGTAACTAAAAGCAGAAGTTCAAAGTAGCCAGCTCTGAGCAAGACTGTACTGAAGCATACAATCCAGCTGGCAGCAAGACTAAAGCGTGAAAGATACTGTGATATGCTAAGAAAGGGCATGTAGGAACACAGTTTTAGTACTTTATTTGCTTCAGTTTATGAAAGTCCTTGTATTTCATCAAGTTTTGTGTGGTTCAGTTATGTTTAAAAAGAAACAGCAACTGAAATACCTGCTTTCTTCAGTAGCAGCTATCATAATTTACAAATACTTTGGATTTTATTAGTAGCCAGTATGTGAATATTAATTCCAAAATACGTGACTTGGATTGAAAACTGTGTTTTGACTGGCAGGGGTGCTGGCTGGGCCGTCTTGGGCAAGTTGCATCAAATTTCTGGGCCTGTTTTCCCTGATGGGACTCTAATTCACAGAGGAAAAGGAGATGGCGAACAAATGGTAAAGCTCAATTTAGAAGTCATGGCTACTAACTCAATGAAGCCCATGGGTTAGTTTTGTACAATTGCTAACGCTTTCAATACTTCAATTCTTATCAATATCTTAAAAATAAATGTTACTCCAGTGTAGCATTCCCAGCTCTTAGGAGTGTAGCACCCTGGGCATGTTGTTTAGTCTTGCCAAACCATTGTGTTTTGCCACGCATAAAATGGAGATTATTTTTGGTGGTTTTGCAGTGTGTTTGGACGTCCTGAGATTCAAATCACTGTAAGCATTTTAAGGAGCAATACCTTCTTAATTGGTGAGGTCATGCTGAACTTGAAACCGTTTGCTCTGAGGGAAGGACCAGTAGGAAGGGAGCATGTGCAGTGTATTGCTGCTGCTGCTACTGCCAGAGAAACAACGCTGCGGACAAAGTGATGATACTGGAAATCTTGATATAATTCAAGAAGCTCCTGACTCTGGTATTATACATAGCTTTGAATTCATAAGTAGTCCTTTGCCCATTGCTATATAATTTGGGAATTGCACATAAACGTAAGTACATTGCTCAAGTTGAAGTTTAATACTGCAAACAGCAATAAACAGTGCTTGCAGAAAGGGTATGGGCAGAAACCAGAAAACTGAGTCCTCTCGGCTCTGAACATCCATCTTCTGTTTTCAGTACTGCTCACCACTGCTCACCCAGGTTAGCTGGAAAGTGGTGGCCTTCAGGAGACTGCAACACTGGTTTTGTGGATGGTTCCTTGCAGGAGACTGAAGTGCTGGGATAGAGATGCTTGGGAAGATGTGAGCATGAAGTTTTGCTGGGAGCTTCTTAAAAAGCAGGCTTTCCAAGGGTGAGATCAACTTCTCTCTGGTTTGGAAATCGTTATTAATCTTTATCTCAAAGCATATAAAACCCAAAATAGATACATACATTTTAAATTTGATGAGAAGTAACTCCCTAGAGAAATCTA